CAAAACGACCACAAAAAAAGTGACGTAAAACGACTTAAAGAGATGCAAAATGACCACAGAAAGGTGTCAAACGGTGATAAAGAGATTTAAACAATGACAGAGGTGCAAAAGCACCACAAAAAAGTGCAAAACAATGGGAGGCAGACGCAAAATGACCACAAAGAGACAGAAGAATCACAGAGAGGAGCATAAGAACCTCAAAGAACTGCAAAATGATTACAAGATGCAAAATGATCCCAAAGAAAAAGAGGCACAAAACGACCACAGAGACGATAAAAATGACCACAAAGAGATGCAAAGCACTGAAAAAAAAGACAAAAATCAACTGTAAAGTCAGATAAAACAACCACAAAGAACTGCAATACAATGATGGAGACGCACAAAATGACCACAAATACATGCAAAGGCTACAAACAGATGCAAAAGTGACTATGAGGTTCAAAACAACCACAAAAAAGAGATGTAAAATGACTAAAAAGAGATGAAAAATTACCACACAGAGAGACGGCAAACAACAATAAAGAGATTCAAAATGATGACAGAGGTGCAAAATGACCACAGAAAGATGCAACACAATGAAAAGGAGGTGCAGAATGACTACAAAGAGATGCAAAACAACCACAAAAAAAGAGATGTCAAACGACTAAAAAGATTCCTAAAATGACCACAAAGACACGCAACACAACTAAAAAGAGATGCAAATCAACTGTAAAGACAGACAAAACAACAAAGATGCAAAACGACCATAAAGAGAGTGACAAACCGGTGCAAAATTATCTCAAAAAAGAAATATAAAACAACAAAAAAGAGACGCAAAATGAGCACAAAGAGAAGCCAAACAACCATAGAGAGATTTAAAACCATGACAGAGGTGCAGAACAACCACAAAAAGATGCAAAAAATGAGAAGGAAGTGCAAAATGACCACAAATAGATGCAAAATTACCTCAGAGTCACAAATACACTGAAAAAGGATGCAAAACAACCACAAAGAAATACAGAGCAATGACAAAGACATGCAAAAATGATTAGAAAGAGACACTAAACATGGCTGATTTAATTGTATTTATTTTGCGTCTTTCAGTCCGTATGTCTTGCTCCTATGTCGGACAGGTGGAAGGCCTTTAACATGTTTGTATCCAGGGGCCTGTTGTCTCACAATCTGTCCACGTCTGTAGGCTACACAGAGTTACTTAAAAGTTTCTAAACCTGCCTCCTGGGGTGAAAGGTCAGGCGTTGTCAGTCAGTGTGATCGCCTGTGTAATCAAACCCTCATGCACCGCTGCCTCTGCAGGGAGGACAATCTATAGCATATACACTGTTTGCTCACATCAGAGCAAAGCAATCTCCTTCCAAGCAGCAATGAAGTGTGATCGACTAATTCCAGCTGTCAGTGTGAGAAGAGAGCTTAATGTTGGAACCAACAAGGCACAGTGAAGACATAAATGTCCAACTCTTGTTTAATGGAGTAAAGTCGCCACTGCAGATGTTTTTTTCTTAACTTTTAGATAATTGTAGTTTGGTACAAGTTCAACAGTTCACATCGTAATGTTCAAACCTAAAACATGGTGCTTCACTGGACTTTTTCCTCCACAGTATCTTGACTTCTTCTTTTAATGCCTTTTTGTTTAATCTCGTTTTATTACCTCGTTCTTGTTGTGTGGTGTTGTTCTATAATAATGATGATGATGATGATGATGATGGTTTCGTCTTTTTAGTGAGCTGTTTGAACTCTGCTGGCTTTATATTGACCTTAACAGCGTGAGGGACTGGAAGCTCTGAAAGGAAATGAGAGACTTTCGATCAGAGAGTCTTACCTGCAGCCAAGTACACAGAGCCACCACAGCAGGTTCACCAGAGAGAGGAAGAGATGGCTAAAGCCCATAATACAAACAAACACAATGACCTCAGGGTGGTAGCACCTTAAACTGTGTGTTGTTCAAATTAAACACAATAAAGTTTGTTGTTTTTGAGTTTTGAGGACACAAAACTGTTCTAAGCCCTAATATCATGACCATTGGAAGGTTAGTATCGGTACAAATAATGTACTTTTTATGAGTATTATCCGAGTAAAATGTGCCGATATTCAACACACTCTCATCCAAACTCGTCTCCTTTTTCAGTGGCCTTTCACATCAACATATATTACGTGCTAGGTATTCCCCTTCGTCCGCTGTTGATGTTCCGGGAGACCACACTAGAGACTGCACATGGTTAAGTTTAGAAAAAAACATCATGGTTTGGCTCTACATTCATACAGGAAGCAAACAGTGGGCTCTTGGGTGAAAGTCCAGACTTTGTTGAACCCATCCGCCACCCCTCCCACTCACCCTATGGGGACTTTCTAGCTCCTTATATTGCCAGGTTACTGGCAGCGTTTTAAACTGACGCCGCCCAATGGCGTATCATACCACCATAAACGGTGTCTTTTGGCATCAGTGTCTGATGCTGAAATCAGGGACAAAGCGGTGGCATTTAATAACTTCGGAATGAGAACAGGTTGCAATATCCGTCCTATTGACACAGGAAAATCTTTATTTGCATAGCTATGATCAATCTGTTATTCATTTGTTACAAGATTAAATTCTGGGATTGTTCTGTAAATATTTTTTAATAGATAATAAATAAAGCAAATTTTAATTGAACCATATCAATTTTAGGCTTCCCAGCAAGCATTTTTTTGTTTAAAAAACGTCTAATAGCCGTCTACATGAAGACCTGACATCTAGGCTAAATCACGGCTGAATTTGGGCTGTCAGTGAAAATTTGGTAGATGTCTAACCATAGCCAAAGTGTAGACGTCATCAATTATATGGCTATGTAGAGACCATGTCCAAAAAATGGAGATAAACATATTTTAATTACTGTTGACACTCCATATGTGATTGAATATCATACCGCATGCCATCTGCAATGGCGAAAATTACATTTAATCAATTTCAAAATTAAATCAGCTAGATTTGGGTTACATGTAGCTAGACTAAATCGGAGCTAAATATAGCCAATACGTTTAAATCACGACTATTGCTTGCTGGGTTAGGTCCCACCTATGTCTAGTTTAAAGTCAGCCCGTTCCAAGTACAGATACGGATACAGATAATTTAGTGGGTTGAACAAATACAGATACAGATACAGATACAGATAACAATGAACTCCCTCATCCCTAAAAACTTTCATAGATCTACAAAAGTGGACATCCTTCTTTGCAGGTATCGGCTAATGTTTTCTCCCAGCCCAGTGGCCTTGATAAAATTTTGCCATTGTATGTTTCTGCAAATCACAGATACGTCACATTGGTACATTTCACACATGCTCAATATCAATGTTTTTAAAGTGATGCAATATATCCTCCTGAGACCCTGTGTCCTCATATGAGGGTATCACATTTTGAATTTACTTGACCTTATACTTCATTCTACTTAACTCAGTCCCATTGTCCTCGTTCGTGGACACTTTTGTGCCATCTAGTGGTAGTAAGAGCACAATACACTAATCCATGTAAAAACAAGATGGCAGCCATCTCTGCCAAGTCAGTCTAAAGGCTCATTTATGCTCCCTTTACATACGAAAATGTATACGTCTGTTTCAAACGATGTTACCGTCACTGCCCACATACTTCCATGCACCCTTTACGTTGGCATGGATGTTAACCAATATATCCACCAGGAGGCAGCCCAGTGTCAAAAGTTTATGACAACAACAAACTCAAAAACAAACATGGCGACTGTGGAGGAGATACTGATAATGTACCTCTTGCATAAAAGACAAAAACAGAGGCAGCGTTGTAGGAGGCGGTGGTCGGTGAGGCCGTTAAATACATCGCGACTGGAGGATGGAGATTTCTTTTCTCTAGTACTGCCAATGAGAGAAATTGAATTGATATTTCTTCTTCGTGTCTCACTAGAGCTACGTATCAGGTAGTGACAGCAACACTGCCCCCATGGTTCCCGGTGGTACTGCTCCGTTTGGCCCGTATCCGTAAGCTTTATGGAAACGTGCAGAAATATGGACGAAATGAACGCAGAGCACGGACGGAAGGTGATCCCGACACAAAAGTCGTCAAGGTCCAAAACCTGATCACATTTTATGGTTGACACTTGATTGTTTATGATTAATAACGTTTGTAGTTTGATATGGCAACAAATTTGGCCAATTTTAGCAACAGTACCAAGATAAGACACTGTTAACTAGGAAGTTCTTGTTTGAGGACGTTAGGACTTTATTATTGTTGACAATGTTTAGTTTTTTATACTTACTGAGTCCTACTGATCCCAAATAACTAGGAGAATTTAAAAATGCATACCAAACAAAAGTCTGGGTGTCTGGAGGATATAAGCTGACTTTTGTCATCGAGAGGTAGAGGAAATGGTGGGTGGCATGTCACTTAGGTGATGTCATCTTGGCGAGACATCTGCCAAGTAGCAGACCACTGTTCGATACCGACAACATCAGACGACAGGATAACCTTTTGGCAACCTTCGGTGTTTGTCTTGAACCTGAGTGTTTTTCACTGACCGGTCCCTGCTTTTCCAGCAGTTTTTGTGCCACCAACACGTGATCTTTTTTCTGACCATAACCAAGTGGTTTTTGTGCCTAAACCTAACCACACCTTCACAACAGCGTTGTTAAGAAAGTTTAAGTGTATCTGCTTTAAAATAATGTACAAATGTACGTATTCGTGGTTTGCAGAAGTGTACAATACAAACATTTTTTATGGCGATTGGGTGGTTTTCTCCACTGCAACAGTAACAAGAATTTTATTTTGAGCTTAATGTCATCTGCCTCTCTGTCCCTCCCTCCAGCCACATTCCCACTTCCCCAGAACCCTTTATTGCCATTCTCTACCTGTCCACCAGATGTCATCATAGTATTCAATCCCTGCCCACCTGCTCACCTGCTTCCACTTTACCTCGTCAGCCATGCAGTATTTAACCGACTCATTTTCACTTATAACTGGCCAGATTTTTAAAGTCGCAAGGTAACCCTTCCTTTGCTTTCCAGCCTCTGAGCCCTGCAACCTTGACCCCTGGATGTGGATCTTGACCTACCAGAACCCTCCGCTGCCTTATCCCTGCTATCCTCTGGACTTGGAGACTTGGACTTGCCAGGAAGCTTCACACACTATCATACCTTCAAAAAACTGTTCCTGTCTGCCTGATTGTCGCCATTCCAGTTCTCCTTTTGTTGCCTGTACTCACCAGCGCTGACAGGCACTATTAATTTCCTTGCAGAATCCAAACTGTTAGTTGTTTTTACCCATTTTCCCCATGAACAATACCACTGTACCCTGCTATTATCAACTCCGTCTAAACTGTGTAAGCAGCAACAGTTTACAGAGCTCGAGTCGATGCTATAATCCCTGCCTCCATGCCAAAGACAGTGTGTACAACATGTGCAACAAACACCAACACGCACACATGCAGACTGGAGCACATTCACTTTTGGAGGACAGAGAGGGGTAAGAGGCTGAAGGCTCCTCCCTGAGAGTTTGTGAAAACATTCCAGCAAAGTGAGAGCGGTCAAAGAATTGGAAACTCTCACAGCGGCCTCTTATACTTACTCTCTGTCCTTTCTCACCTCGTTGCACATGTAGTTGCACTGTATACAGTGTTTATACAGGCTGCGTGAAGCTCTGCAGGGGCAACACGTCAAGGAGGGGGGAACCCGAAGGAACATCCAAAGTCTGGACAGACAAAGAAAACTCAGCTGTCCCCACTGATCGGCTCATAATGAAGCCGGTGTTTGTCCTCCTTGTTTCCACTGCCTGGACTTTGACTGGAGCCCAGTATTACTACCAGGGGCTGATGGATTATCTGGAGAACAGGTTGTTGGCTATTGAGGTAAGAAGCAAAATCCCTTTGAATGACTGATATCTGATCAATATACTGTAGATTTCCATGAGTTGAGTGATGGCACAGATCTCTACATGGATTTTGCCTTGGTATCTTTGATGCATAGCAATAAGAGAAAAAAACGTCAAGGATCATAAACTGAAAATAGAAAAAATACAGTAAAAACTACATCTTAAATATGTAAAATATGTTTTTAAAATGAAAAAAATCTGCAAAAATTCACATTAGTAAGTATAAAAATATGTCCAATGTGCAGAGTTAACAATCCCCCACCTAAAATGTGCATTGATCTAACCCCTTGAGTGAGATTTCTGAAGTAGCAGTCATTAAAAAAAATTGATATAAAAGTTGATATTTTCCTGATTGCTTCCTTTTATGTGGATTTAATGTCTTATCTAATGCAGTCCAATTAATGCAATCTCTGCCCAGCTCATCAACTTTGCAGGGGCCTCCGAGGGAAAAGCAGACCATGCACACAGCATGCAGTTTCTGTCCGACATTACCATTTCTGCAAAGTTTCAAGACAATGACACAACGGTAATGAGTACAAGCTCAACCTTTGCTGCCTCGCCATCAAACATCCCAACAGTCTTAATAGAAGGATGTGTTCTGCAAAGGTAAAAGGAAGCTGTGCTACAACAAAGTGCCTCAGGGAAGGAATCAAATTACTGAGAGTTCAGCATTGTGTTCTTAAAGGGAGGTTATGAGACGGCAGAGTTTGTCTAAGGGAAGACTTTTGTTGGCTTACGATATGAAATGCAAGAGGATTACATGTCTGGTTGCCTCGGTGAGTAATTTTAGTGAACTCTCATTTAAATAATTATTTTAATGTATTCTTTTGGAGTATATTTTCAGAGTCAGAAATTTTCTTTTTATCCTCGGTGCGGCTTGCATTGCAAAAACGACAATCTTAATGCTGTTATCCGCATGAAATGAATTGTCTATTTACAGCTAAATCCTGCTTTCTTCAGCCCCCCTGTGGCATCCCTGCAGTCTCACTTCCAATATGCTGGTTCAACTTCTGCATTGATATGAACACGACAATTCATCAAGCAAGTTTTCATTGAACTTTCATTTCCATTTGACCACAGGCCCACAGCAAGCAAAGCGAGAAAATGAAACTGTGGTGGAGGAGACAGTGGAGGAGCTGTCAGTGCTGTTATTAAATCTTGCTCTAAATAATTTACCTATCACTCTGAACATGTCAATCACTACGCTGAGAAACTGTGTTTCTGTTTGGTGATGGTGATAATGCTTTGACTGAATCAGGACTAAGAGTTGACAGCTGCTCTGTGAGGCTTTGAAATGAGCTAAATACTAACATAGGTGATGCTAACACAGTGAGGTTTTGCAAACAGTTATTTACCATTTTGGTTTCACGTGCTCACATGCTAACATTTTGTAATCAGCCCTGAACACAACGTACAGCTCAGCCTAATGGGAATGTCAACTGATTTTTTGTGTAACTGATTTTTCAGCCTAGGCACGGTAATGCTGGTCCACCACTTTGGTCAAGACTAAAATAACCTCAACAGCTATTGGATGGATTATGATAATTTATTACAGACATTCATGCTAGCCAGATAATGAATCCCACCAACTTTGATCCTCTGACTTTTCATGTAGCACCACCGACAGGTTGACATTTTGGGCTTTTAGTAAGATAGCCTATCTCAGCAGCTATTGCATGGATTCAAATTAAATTTACACACATTCATGTTTCCCTCAGGATAACTTAAAATAACTTGGCACTGTGGCACCATGGTTAGCGTTATCGTCCCACAGCAAGAGGCATCCTTGTTGGAACCCAGGGTGGGGGAGCCCTTCTGTGTGGAGTTTGCATGTTCTCCCCGTGTCTGTAGCCATGTTTCCATCAGCCTGTTTAGATGCGCATCTGGAAGTATTGCATTGGAAAATTATGATGGAAACGTCATAATTCGAATTAAAATCCCCTGACTCGCACAAACTAAAATACGCTGGCTTTAGCCGGGTTTTGGTTGATTCGAAAAAATGTTGATTCGCAAAACGGGGGATGGAAACAGTTATGTTCGACTTAAGTCTGACATAGCGCACCTCTCTCCATGGTGATATCCACACTCCGGGTCGGGAAGGTGGTAATGCATTTACAAGCTGGTTGCCAACCGCCAGAAAATGTAGAAGAAGAAGAAGAATGCGAGACTTGTTTTGTTTCCGGTTCTGTGGAAAAACTTGCGCAAGTTTGTAGTTTTCACCAAAGTGTGTACATTTAATGGAAACACACAGGATTCGTATTTCTTTTTATGCGCATTTCCCAATGATTCTAATCACTTTTGGATGGAAACATAGCTAGTGTGGGTTTCCTCCAGGTACTCCAGCTTCCTCCCACAGTCCAAAGACATGCAGGTTAATTAGTGACTCTAAATTGTCCGTAGGTGTGAATGTGAGTGTGAATGTCTGTCTCTGTGTGTCAGCCCTTTGATAGTCTGGTGACCTGTCCAGGGTGAACCCTGCCTAGGCTCCAGCCCCCCACCGACCCCAAACAGGATAAGCAGCTATAGAAAATGAATGAATGAACTGGTCAATTTTCAATCCCCTGCTAAACTGAAGACAGACTTTGTGTTCAGTGCTAATAATTGTAGCATGTAAGCATGCTAAAACCTTGACCTAAAATGGTGAACATGTGTACATGCTAAGCATCATCGTGTTAGCATTATCATTGCTGTGTCTCAAATCGCGTACTTCTGTACTTACACTTAATATTTTGAGTGCATAAGTGCATTCACACTGAGAAGTATGGAAAAATGCAGCGCACTATGAGTACCTGGATGGTTCGCTCAAAAAAAAACGGTCAAGAAGTTGAGTGTGGAACTATGGACACTTCTCGCCCTCAATGGTCGCCATCTTGGCTACGTTGCGGAAGGGGAGGGACCACTTTTCAAACTGGAAATGGCGGCCAAGGACTGTGCGACCGTGAACGTCGCTGCATTGTACAAATACATGTGTTTTTTGCACTAAGCACCACTATACTGTTGTGTTGGGTATAAGCCAGCAGTATGTTTATTGGGTTAATTTAGCAGTCTGTAATGATTTGGTACCGCGAACGATAACGCGAATGCTAATGCTAGTTTGCTGACTAGCTAACAGCATGCGGTCGTAAGTGCACAATGGCCGTGTTTGATTTGAGACAACACTACCCTGTCGAAATTTGCGCACTACGCCAATAAGTACATAGTGCACATAGTATACTACATGGAAGTGTACTAACGGAAGTATGTGATTTGAGACCCAGATATTAGCATTTAGCTCAAAGTACTGCTGTACAACCTCAGAGCTGCTTACATGGGTGCTGAGGAATTTTTTTTGCCTCCATAACACACTTCAAATGCCCACATCGTGTTGTATGGTCACTCTGAGTGGTACCTCTATTTGTCACACCAGTGGCTCGAGTAAAAACCAGAGAGAACACATCCTGCAGTTTATTATAACACTTGTTTTGCTGTGCCCATGTCTGCCAGGACCGCATGCAGTTGTGGCATGAACAATCCCATCGCTACCACACAGAGATGCTGGATTTCAAAAAGCTAACTGCTGAGGCCATGGATGGGCTGAAGAATGAGCACAGCATGATGTTCAAAGACCTGGAGGGAGCTGCGGCCCGAGTGGACCGGGTGGAGCGAGAGATGGACTACGTTGAGACCCAGACTTCCCCTCGGGCCTGCGCGAATAAAGCAGACAAGGTTGTGGAGCAGGGAGCCTGGGGGTTGCAGGAGAGCAGAGGAGGGGAAGAGGAGGAAGAGGACTGGGAGGAGCTGCGCTCCAGAGTCTCTGGTGAGCTGCAGAGAGGCACACACACACTTCGGCCAAAAGCCCTCTGTGGGATGGCTGCGTTTGATCTTTCATTTTCATTCATAGCGGAGCTCTGGCACAGTCAGAACCTATGGGACATAAAGGCACTATGTTCTATAGTTAATTTTAGCTTTACACATCACACCCGGCTCCACACCACACATTCTGCAGAGTTGCTGTCTTGGAAAAGCCATGCGTCTGGAAAACGGGAAACAAGCACGCTGCTGTTACAACTCATTTAATGGAGTGCTTTGAGTCAGTTGAATCAGTCATGTTTTCCAGGAGAAATGTGGCTTGATGCAACTCATTTATTTCTGCAGAGTTACTCCCCTGCTTGCACTGTTTGAGCACAGCGTTTGTCTTTATAATCTCCAGATCCCAAGGCGTGCTGCTACAAACAATGCTGAGATATAACTGCAGCACTGAGTCATTCAGTCAGTGTAATGCAGAGACTTACAACCCTGTTAGAGTGTGAATGTGGAAAAGGAGTGAAACTAAACTTGTTAATTCCATGAAACACATCAGACTTTATGATGGCAGATTTCACTGAATGTGCACATTGAGCAAAAAAATCTATATTTTTAATTGGTATCAAAAGCTTAGTCCCCAAAGATGGATCATTAAATTTCTCTGGTACCATTTATACAGACTCTCCTTGCAAAACCAAATGAAAAAATATTGATTTATATTAATTCACGCTGACTTAATAAAACAATCAATAGCACATAAATTCAAGAATTATTTAGTAATATGATAAATGGTCTGCTCAGAATCATAATGCCAGTCATGCTTCACATAATCAGGGGAGATTTCTCTTGTTCAGATGTTTTAATACGAATTAGATGATGGTACAATGCAGACCAAAGGCTACTCCAACGTCTCCTGTGCAATCTGGAGCTGCGTCTGTGTGTCTCTGCACAGAGGAGGGACAGGAAGCTCCCCTGAGGTCAGCGGCATTTCTCTCCAAGCTCATGTTCGCTCTGCGCACAGTGATCCATTGTAAATGTTTGTCAAGTGACCCAAAACGAACTTCACTGTATTGTAGGGACCCATTTTAGATTTGTGAACATGATGTTAATTTCGCTTCAGGACACAACAGGGGGACATCCTTTGTTCGTGTGTTTGAGTGAAAGCATGGCATCAATCTTACTTCTTTTACTGAGAGCATCTTCATGCCGTCTGTGTGCTGCGCTCATACTTACTCTCATTATGAGTCTGTCTGTCCAATTTCCCCCTGACTGGTTTGAATTTGCCTTAATTTGGAGAGCCGGATAGTGACTGCTGCAGGCTGCGTGATGCTTTCTGAATGTTAGGTTGCAAATACACATTTCAGCTGAGGAGTGGAAGTGAAACAACTGAAACGTGCAAGTGGAACTAATCGTGCCAGCTGGGAGATTGAGATCTAAATCATTATAATTAGATTAACTTCACACCTGTGAGATGTTTTTTATAGTAATTGCGTAATTTCTCACAACAGATAGCAGCCCAGTCGCCAGAAGATGCTGGCATGTACGCCACTGCAAACCACAGATACATTACATTTGGCGTGGTGGCATGGTGGTGCAGTGATTAGCATTGCCACCTCACAGTAAGAGGGTTCCTGGTTGGAACCTGGGTCAGTTTGACTTTTCCCTAGGTACTCTGCCTTCCTCCCACAGTCCAAAGACATGCAGGTTAACTGGTGACTCTAAATTGTCCGTAGGTGTGAATGTGAGTGTGAATGTGAGTGTGAATGGTTGTCTGTCTCTATGTGTCAGCCCTGTGTTAGTCTGGTGACCTGTCCAGGGTGTACCCTGCCTCTCACCCAATGACAGCTGGGATAGGCTCCAGCCCCTGTGACCCTCAACAGGATAAGCAGTTACAGAAAATGAATGAATGAATGACTGCATATCATATCAACGTTTGTAAAGTGACACATGGGCTGACTTTGTCATCTGGAAATGAAGAGGGTGGTTGATGGTGTGACATCTAGGTGACATGCCTGCCAAGCTGAGACCAGCAAACAACCAAACCAGTTTTTTAGTTAGTCATTATTGCTGTGTTTCCAGCAGGGGTTGTGCCACCAAAAGCAGGTATTTTAAGCCAAAACACGATCTTTTTGTGATCATAACGAGGTGGTTTTGTGCATAAACCGAATTGTACCTTAACCACAGCATTGTTAAAGGGGAACTAATGTTTTTTTTCAATCTGGGCCCTAATATTTTAAACTGTGTTGACCTTGATCTAATGACTAAGGACAAATCTGGACCCCATGGCTGGACCAGTTGGGAACCACTGACGGATACGTTCGCAGATACGAAAAAACTTCAAGTTTCCTTTATGTTTTAAAGGGGAACTAATGTTTTTTTCAACCTGGGCCCTATTTTCTGATCTACTTTTGTCTAAATGAGTGATAGGATGTTCAATATTTGACATTTCTCCAGTACGAAGCTAGGGCTGACCTGCCTGCAGCCCGTGAGCGTGAGCTATATTAAATAATAGGGCACTCAGACAGCGTCAAACAACGTCAAAATACGTCATTGAAATTGAAGAGTAGACGAGGAGAGAGCAACAGGCAGAGGAACATGTCCAAATCCAGCTAAAGGTAAACACAGACGTTCATTTCTCCTTTCCGTTATGTTGTCGGATAATTATACTAACAATCTGAGCCTATCTGTGTGAAAAAAAATGCTCTTTTAGTGGACGTATTTTGACGTTTGACGCTGTCAGAGTGCCCTATTATTTAATATAGCGTGCGCTCACGGGCTGCAGGCAGGTCAGCCCTAGCTTCATACTGGAGAAATGTCAAATATTGAACATCCTATCACTCATTTAGAAAAGAGTAGATCAGAAAATAGGGTCCAGGTTGAAAAAAACATTAGTTCCCCTTTAAAACGTAAAGGAAATGTGACATTTTTTTGTATCCGCTACGTCAGTGGTTCCCAAATGGTCCAGCCATGGGGTCCAGATTTGTCCTTAGTCATTAGTTCAAGGTCCACACAGTTTAAAATATTCGGCGTCATACTTGCATCTGGCTGTATCGTCGATCTAGTTTGCTGTGTCTGTTAAGTAGCTATCCATTGTTCTCTCATTCAGTAGAAGGAAATGGCACTTCAAAATAAAACTCTGTGCTGGAAAGTCACTTTACTTCAAAATAAAGTGTGTTTTTTACAAACTTGTCCATTCAGAATGGACCCGCGACCCACTTTTGGACCGCACCCCACCAGTTGGGAACCACTGCGCTCTGTAATGTACAAATGTATTGTGTCAGCTGTTTGCAGGAACATGTAATGCCTGGTGATTGGGCTGTAAACTGACTAATCTGAGGTGCAGTGGTTTACAGTTATCCCTTTTATTTCCTCTTATGACACTTTAAAGCTTTAAATATTGATGAAACATAACGTCTGGATAATGCATTATTTATTAGGAGTTTAACTCTATAAAACTGTACAAATCTGCTGTGTCAGGACTGTGAGGATGTAGTGTGGTCCGTTTTACTCAAACCTGCTGCAATGAGGAGGGCCATACGTACCATTACTGAAGCTGCAGAGAAAGCCAGTTGGTGGTGATAGATAAAGAGGGCGAGCCTGTGGATTGCTGCTGCTGGGTCGAATCTGGGACTTGATCAACCGTGGATGATCACCTGGGTGCAGCGGTCTGATGTTGAAAGACCCGAAACCCCCTATGACCCCAGGAACTTCACGGATGATGCACCCCAGTGCATCCTAGAGATGTGTCTTGAAACCAAATCTTTATTTCTGCATGACATCAAATGGAAATATTCCAAATGTTTCTGCATCACTTTACACATTTTCTTAAACATCCAGCCCATATGAATCTTCAGAAACTCACTAACTGTAACTGAGGATCTCCACTAGAATTTAGAACAATTTTCTGGGGCTTTTGGCTGCACAGTGTGAGCATGTAACTACCACACAGGAGGGTTGTAAGACCTGTTATCTCAATCTGTTTCTTACTATGAGCGATGTGGTCCCACGTGAACAAAAGTTTCTGCCAAAGTCAAAACCGTTTTGGTCATTTAAGAGATTTCTGTTTTTGTCCTTGGCTGCTTTTCTCTCAGGGGGGGAGAAACCCATTTTTTTTAAAGGTGAATTTGAAACCAAGATAAAGAAAGAAATCTATCTCCATCTCTTTATGTGCATCATAGTCAACGGAGACTGATATGAACTGTCCATTTGCTAAAACCAAACACCGATTTTCATGCACAATATTATGTAGCTCATAATGGCTTATTTACAGGAGCTGTATGCAACATTCAGAGCCCGGGGGGGATCACAGGGGGCGGGGTTGAGGTGTCACATGTTTTCCGTTGTAACCACTGTATGAGCGCAGTGCAGGACGGCAGCAATTACATCACCAGTGGGATACACCCGCACGTGTGGCTGGACCGGCTACCACAACAAACCACAGAGAAGCTAACATTACAGCACAGACACAGGTAGCGTCTTTACTCTTTAATGTCTTTACATAATAGTTGTTGGCTGCTGTATTGATGTTCCAAAAGTTGTATCAAGCAACTATAAGACCATTTTTACCAATTTCATTTTAAGATGAGTCAGCAGGAAACATTATTAAGTCAGCCAGAGACAGCGTTTTCAACCAACTCATGGCGCTGGCGTTACTGCCAGCTTAATTAGCTCCCATTCAGTTTTCACATATGGGAGACTTTCATGTCGACAAAGACAGTGTGACTCACAGTTGGACCGCTTCAGTGATTTGGATCAGCTTGAATCTCTCCCTCTTGAATCATCAATAACAAAGATAAAAAAGCTGATAGAAAAGATCTGGTTCTTTGATGTAAAAAGCTGATGATAAAAGCCTCCGCACAGAAAAACTTTGCATTGCATTTGGGCCGGAAACATCTAATCACTGAGTTGAAAACTAATCTTAAAGGTGCTTGACACAACATTCAAAGCATTGAAAGCACACCACTATTCGCTGAGTGAAGATATAGTCAAGTAATGGCATTCTGAGCCAAGAATGAAGTCAGACTCCCTCTGTGTGTGTTATAGTCTGAGCTTCTCTGTCCTGTGTTGTGGTGGACTGTCTGTCTGAATCCCTGTGTGTGTGTGTGTGTGTGTGTGTGTGTGTGTGTGTCCCACTGGCTAACTAATTGCTGCCGCTCTGCAATTGGCTCATGTGACAGTTACCACTGATAACGCCATCCTGTCATCGCAGAAGCGTAAAGCTGGATTTATACTTTCGCGTGACGCCGCACCTATGGCATAGGCTGTAGGCTGTGACGCAAAGCCTACGCCGATGCCTGACGTGCACCTCACCAGAAATGTAACACGTTGTGGCGATGCAGACCTCCTGTGCATGTCTGTAAGCTAAAAACTGACAGTGCTCGCCTCCCCTTCTGCAAATGTTCCACCAAAACAAGACCCCACCCACCCATCCCTCTCGCCAGTATTTTGCAATCACACCATCGCTGGATCCTGGGCTTCGAGCCGCCCAAGATGATTGTGATTGGTTTTAAGATATACAAAAAAGTCGTCGCATTTTCTCCCTACAGTATAGCAGAGAGATGATGTGTGCTTCCAGACCTTTCTCTAGCGCTGATACAGCACTGTAGAGATAGGTCTGGCTTCGTTAGACTATGCTACGTAACACTGTGGACATTATTTAACAGTGAAAGCTTGACGTGTGTAGCAACAGTACAGTAAACAGTCACTTTCTTAATGCACAAAACCTGATCCCTCTGTTTGTTGTCTCTCACTGCAGACTGTGTTGAAATCATCTCTGGCATCAGGTCAGTGAAGATCCTGAAGAGAGTCGGCAGTCCCAAAGGCATGTGGACCAGAGACCCAAGGTCGTCCAAAGTTTACGTCTTCAATGGGACATCAGGAGACAGCATCTACCAGTTCAACTCTGTACGAGACTTTTCCAGCTCTCCTGGCGTCACCAGCAGCCGACAGATCAGACCTCCCTCTGAGTGGAGCGGTCCAGGCAGCGCTGTCTATAACGGCTATTTGTACTACATACAGCAGGAGGCTGATACAGACGTGCAGGTGGTCAAATATGACCTGCTGAGTGGCTTGGTGACAGACGTCGCCATGTTCCCCATGGAGAGCCACGCTGCGGTTTACAGCCTCAACCCAGAAACTGTTGCGGACCTCGCAGCAGACGACGAAGGCCTCTGGCTCCTGTACGCCTCCAGCGACAGTGAACCAAACATCAACCTGGCAAAAATGGACCCTGACACGCTCGATATAGAACAAATCTGGGACACCCGGTGCCCACGGGAGAACGCAGAGGCAGCTTTTGTGGTGTGTGGGACCGTCTATGTCGTTTACAACACCCGCATGCCCAGCAGGTCCCGAATCCAATGCCTTTTTGATGTCAATGACATGGTGATCAGCGAGGAGGCTCCGCTGATATACTTTCCCAGGAGGTACGGAGCCCACGCCAGCCTGAAATACAACCCCGAGGAGAGACAGCTCTACGGCTGGGACGATGGCTACCAAATCATTTACAGACTGAGCATGAAGAAGAAGCTCCTGGTGTGACAGCAGGGAGGTGGTGTCAGGTTTCCAAAGGCAATAATAAAGCAAAGGAGCGGTAAACTTACACACGCTATGCCGAAAAGTATTTCAGTAGCCTGAAGACTCTTCATTCATGGTAGATTTAAAGGTTCAGTGTGTAAAATTTAGGGGGATTTAGTGGCATCTAGTGGTGAGGATTGCAGATTGCAACCAGCTAAAACTTCTCCTGGTTAGAATTCCCTCAGTGTTCATTGTTCAGGAGGTTTTTACCAGGAGATGAATTATCTGCAGAGGTCTCTTCCTCTCCAAGACAAACAGACCAGGTGATTTTAACAAGTAAAAATTCATTTCATGTTGAAATTAGTGTTTCTCCTATGCTGTTTTGGATGTCGCTGACGTTTTCTCTGATAACTTATGACCCAGATGTTCAGGAGGTTTTTCTCTCCAAAACAAATGCACCCGGTGATTAAAACCGATTAAACTCTGAATAAAGCAGTTTCACGTTACAAATCAGTGTTTCTCTTACGCTGTTTGGGACGTGACAAAGGGCTACTAGCCGAGTATCCCTTTGCCACATCTGATTTAGACTTTCAAGAGGTTTTTACCAGGAGCCGAATGATCCGCAGAGGTCTCCTCCTCTCCCAAACAAAGGCACCCCTTCATTAAAACTGGCTAAACAATGAGTAAAGCAGTTTAACATTAAAAATCAGTGTTTTTCTGATGCTGTTCAGCTCGTCAGAGACAGACAGCTAGCTCAGCACCTGCTTATATGTGCTCACCTTTTTACTGATTATTTAAATCCAGATGCTCAGGAGGTTTTTACTGGGAGCCAAGTTATTTGCAGAGGCCTTTCCCTCTTCAAAACAAATGAACCAGGTGATTTAAACCGGTAAAACACTGAATAAAGAAGTTGCACGTTCAAAAAAATCTGGTTTTGCTGACACTACTTGTTGTGTAGGGGCTGCTAACTATGGTGGCCAACACAAAAACGTGAACAGCCCTATCTAGAGCCAGTGTTTAGTTTGTCCGTTCTGGGCTACTGTAGAAATATGGCAGTGCAACATGCCAGTCTATTCTTATTTTCAGATGATTGTACACTGAAGAAAACCTAATATAATATTCCATTTCTGCCAAAATATCCTCCTGATTTCTACACACTGGACCTTTAATACAGATCGGCCATAAAGTCACACAAATTAGCCTTTGCACTGCTATTTATTAATTTGACCTTTTTCTTTTGTGTGTAAAATACCAAAACAAACATGAAAATGCCACTCGGTTTATTAGAGGCTGTCAAGTCGTACTTGCTATGTGGTGTTCTGTGTCCTCCTCTCAGTTTAATTTGACCATTAGATTCAGACGAAATCTCATTTCCTTTGTGCCCCTTCCTGCTTGTTAAACCGCCGGCTGCGTCGTCATTATATGCTGTGTTTTATTGCCACAAAACTCACAGCGCGGCGCCCATTTTTTGCATAAAGTCTTTTAATCAAAGAAAATAAAATCATCTCACAGAACTGATAACACGGGAAAAAAACAACAGTCTTTTGCTGCTGCTGATTTTCAGACGTGTCGGAACAAAAGAATGACAATTTGTGGCTGAAACGATGTAAGATATTTCAGTTTACTTTATTACACACTGGGTCACTCGTATGGTGAGTCTCGATAATGATCTAGGAACTCAGAGTAGACGTTTGTCTCGACTAACTGTTGATATCAATCACCTGCACATTTTCTCAAACATTTCTATTATTACAAATACAAAATGTTCAATAAAAAATTGGAAATTCAGTGCTATCATAACAGTTGGAAGGGATACAAGATCATATCAAGAAACGTTACAATATTAGGCAAAGCTAGAAGGTCTCCAAACAGTCCATAAAGTGAGGCAAGTGATTTAACAGGTTTCTTCTACTATGAAAACACACCACACTGTCAGAGAAATATATGACCATCGTAAAGCACAGGTTTTAAAAACAAAATTATTACTCAACCACTTGTTTCAACACTAAAAGAAGATAATATAAATCTATGAATAATGCCATTATAGAGGAATTTTACCATCAAAACAACTGTGTGAAAATTTCAAACATTTGTGGAGGGGTGTTGATGCGATGGTGGATTACGTCAAGCACGAACAATAATGCACTGACTCCTTCTCGCTGTAACAAGTGCCAATTAGAGAAATGCCACTGCTCTGTAGATGCTGACCCGTCCACCCATCAGCTGCCCCCGCGCTGCCGTCTCAGCCTCCCAGACACACACTGGGCTACTAAACAGCTCAGACCCTAACTTACACATGAAGGAAATGGCTAAAACAGATCTGTCTGGGTCTGCTGAACGCATCTGCTCGCGTCTTGATGTCTGCCCACCGATTTCACAAGCTCTGTGATATATGGCTTATTCACTGTACAGTAGTTTGAGCCGTAGTATCACTCGTCCTCTGCTGCTGAATCAGGCACCAGCAGTCTAGACCAGTGGAAGCCACGGCCAAGAACATTGTTACATATCAGATTTAAGTGTCTGTCGAGATAATGCGGATGCTATTCAGTAAATTGTCCTCATATCAAAAAGACATGATCTGTACAAGCCGTACCAAATATAATCTGTGAATGCTTCCTGCCTGTATCACTCTGACTCTGTAACTCAACATTTCCCAGCCTGAATGTACTGATGGTATCTGTGCCTGTCCATTATAGCAAAACAAATCTATTACTGCTGAAGGGCAAACCTGAAACTTGAAGTCAATGTTAATAGAAATCGAATTATCAGGATTTATGCTCATCACAGAGACCTGCATTAATCACTGTTTTTAATGAAAAGCTATAGACCGGTTTCCCTCTTATAGTAAACTGAGGATGTGTGTGCAGCAGGAGGGTCGACAACTCAATGCACCAAAGTCACAGTGGCTTATATATATATGGCTTATATATTTCCATTGTTTAGAAATAAAGAAACTTGCAGTTTTTATGTGTATTTTGTATGTGGCATCTTAAATTTCCAGAATTCGTGTTTGTTTTACACACACTGACCGTCGGCTCTAACATGGCTTTTGCACTGCAGTGAAAAACTGTAATTGGTGGGGAAAGTTGGTGTTTCCTTTGAAGCAAAATGTGACAATAGACTTAGATTTAATCAACACTCACTCTCAACTCAACAAACACCAACGCTTGGTCAGTGGTCCTATATGTCAAACTATGATGCTCTAGGCAGTTTTTAGATTGCAAGAATGGTGTGTCAAGTTTCCACAGTTTTTCAAGATAAACTGACAACGTAGGTAAAAAAAAACTTTGTTCTGAATTTGCGACCTAGATTAAGGCAACAAAAATATACAGATGAGTTTGGAAAAAAAACATCATGGTTCAGCTTAAAGTAAGTACATTTGTTTCTAACGAAACATCACATGACACATGTCACTCGCATAGTGTGCTACACATATTAGCATACTATGTTGTTATTAAAATAACTCGATTGGCTTTTGGTTTCAAGCAGAACATGACGGCACAGTGGTGCAGTGGCTAGCATTTTCGCTTTACAGCAAGAGGGGTTCAAACCCCGGGGTGAGGGAGCCCTTCTGTGTGGAGTTTGCATGTTCTCCCCGTGTTAGCGTGGGTTTCCTCCAGGTACTCCAGCTTCCTCCCACAGTCCAAAGACATGCAGGTTAATTGGTGACTCTAAATTGTTCGTAGGTGTGAATGTGAGTGTGAATGGTTGTCTGTCTCTATGTGTCAGCCCTGTGATAGTCTGGTGACCTGTCCAGGGTTAGACTCACAAGTCAGTCTTTAGACGCTCTGCTTAACTAAAGACTGATGACTTTCTCCCTGATTTGTGTTTAGATGGGCGGATACAATTTCAGAGTTTAAAAAAACTCCCTACGTTGCAGAACCAATAGTAAATCTGCAGGGCGGTCCTTCGGTGGCTCGCTGAACTCTTGTGCTTGTAAACATAGTCCCACTAGAAACACGTGTAGCGGTACAAAGTGGCTCAGCCGCGCTCGCAGAAAACGCCGTCAAAGTTAGTGGATGTTTGTCGCGTTTGCGGCGACACATTCTCACCAACTAAAAGAAACAAACATAATCTTTTACAAGGTCATGACTCATCCGTCTGGCCGGACTATAGAGAGAATCGCCTTGTTGTTTACAAATACTTAGGGTAGAAAACCAGCAGAGCTTTTAGCTAAATATATATATAGCCTATATATCACATTTTTCACATCACTGTATCACCGTTTAGACTAATCCGATGTTTGTAAAGTCTATAAACACAATGATTGAACAAACATTACTATTTCTGTGTGCACGTTTAGCCGTTAGCGGTGTCTGTAATAGGTAATAACTCAATAAACAGTCTGTGAAAAAAATATCTTTTCCAGCGGATATCTTAGTTACAACATGATTGAGCTAGCAAAGCAGTTTTGTGTTGCTATGTGTGGTATTTATTCAGTTTTGGGGAATCACGATGTCTAGAACGCATCAGTGGCTGCAGCTGACAGGGACAGCTAACAGCAGCAGCAAAGCTAACATCAGGACGTCATCTGTTAAAAGCCTCCCGTTGTCTGATACGACATGAAACTACTCCAGTTAGCTCAATCATGTTGTAACTAAGACATCCGCTGTAAAAAATATTTTCTTCACGGATGAGCACACGTTTGATAAAACGGAGTTAAATCTCTTGGCATCCATTTTCAAACTCTCTGTGTGTTTGTTTCCTTGCGGACGAGAAAAGGGGGAGCGCACATTTCCGAGAAGGCGTGCCCTTTTCAAAAATGCAAGAGGCATTGCTTTGTTGCCGGCCGTTTTCGCTGGTGTGTTAAACACACTTTAGAAAGGAGTGTCCCCAGACTATCAGAAGGCGGAGATCTCTGATTGTCTGGTGGCGAGACTAGTCCAGGGTGAACCCCACCTCTCGCCCAATGTCAGCTGGGATAGCCTCTAGCCCCCACGCGACCCCCATCAAGATAAGCTGTTACAGAAAATGAATAAATACGTGGCTTTTGGCTTCAAACGGGACACCAACAGCGGTCTCCTGAGTGAAAGTCCGGAGTTTCATACTAAAGCAGTTGCTTAAAGCTTCTGAAAACGCTGTGGCCTTGTGGTTCTCATACCACTGCTAAGGGGTGTGCAGTGAGTATTTGACGAGTTGGGAGTGACACAGGGTTGACTTAATGAATTAATTATGACCTTATGAAGCAGGTGACTTTGTGAAATTGGGGCAGATGAAACATCAGATCTGTGTGGAGTAATTACCATCATGTTTTTTATTTGGTTTTCCACCGCTTGAGGCTCTTTTAATTATATTATCTGTTCGCATCTTCCTCTTCGGCAATCAGTGCCACCAACTGTTTATTTCAATGAACCAACTTCTAACATTTGCATTACAGTAGTGGATGGATACGAGCATTATTTTGTGTTTTCATTTTCCAGCTTTGTCAGAATTTGCACTACGATTGGATAGAAACCAGACTAGTAACAGTGTGAACTGTCTTACATTAAAACCGGCTTCGTTTCTTCATCCTGTGCAAAACTATAAGAGATCTTATTAAAATACGATACTATCCTTTAAAATACAACCATATAGGGTCGTTTGTACAAGCAGCAGTTACTACACATATTTGTGTTAATTGTAAGTTAGTAGCAAACATAGTTATTTTAAGCCATGATCTTTGTTTCTAGACATAACCATGTAGTTTTGGTGCAGCTATGACCATTTAATGTCATCCATTCATTTAAAACTTCGACTGTGAGTGGACATATCAGAGATAATCTGTCATCCACTGGTAAGGGGAAACACTTCTGTTTATTGTATTCAGAGGAAGGAACAAACGGCCTTGTGGTTTTATTGGTTGGAGGACCAATACAATCACATTGGTCGTTTGTACAAGCAGTGGTTACTACACATATTTTCGTTAACTGTTAGGCGGCAACTTCTAGTAACTGTAGTTATTACGACAGTTGCAATGCAGGAAGTCAGGTGACGTGGCGCTTATGGTGGGAGGAAAGGAGGGAGAGGAGGTAGATGGATCAAACAAACACAGGATGTTCATCCACGAGACCTGTGTTTGTGTCCAGTGTGAAACAAATGTCAGTTTATAATAATTTTAATAATGTATAATGTCGACGTCTGTCACGTTATATTAATTTACAAACACACATACTTCCTTTCAGCCATGATCTTTTTTCCTAAACCTGACCATGTAGTTTTGGTGCCGTTTCAATTAAAAACTTCGACTGTGAGGGGTCATATACGAGCTATTCTGTCATCGACCAGTAGGGGTGCTAATTCAGGAAACACTTCGGTGGGTCGTCGTATTCATAGGTTGGAACAAACGACCTGTGTGGTCGTATTGGTGGTATGAGCTCTGACCTGAACTAATTATGTTTAAACACTGTGAGCTGAAAAAAGGTTTCTATCTTGGGACATTTTTCGTACATCATGTATGCCGTATGTGCATTGTCCTCTACCCCTGTATGCACACACATCTCAGTGCTCGGAAACAAAATTACTACAACTACTGGAAGCTTAAACTGGAGGAAAATTATGTATAAATCAAATTATTTTTTGATTTAGTTTTATTCTCATCACGAAGATATAACTCCCATTATGCAATATTTTTAATTAAACACTATTAACGCTTCGCTGTTTTTCACCTGAATAATTAAAGAATCAGGCCTTAATTGAAATTTTGTGCATCTTTTATCTGACTAAAACTTTGAGTTAGCGAAATTAAAGCACATTAAATGCAGGGAACCGTTGAAGGAAAGTATCCTGATGAGAAGAAAACTGATAAAACAGCAGTGCCACAGTCTTTTTCTTATAATCACATCAAAGTATCTTCAAAAAATAATCCATTTACCACACATTGCAGATCAAGCATCTCGCTGGCAAGTTCATCCCGCTCACCCTGTACAACATTATGATTAATGAAAGGATAAACATCAAGAAAGTTGCATGTTTCTAAGTTCAAGAGACAAATATGTTCACCTTTTTCTCAATCGTCACCACGAAGAAGCTACATATATTCAAAATGTCAGTTTTTTTTTTTTTGTTTTTTTTTAATCTTCACCTATCGTATCTTTTCTGGCTTTAAAAAGAATGAAACATACAGATGGCTGTACATGAAACTATACACATCCACCGAAACCTGTTCAGAAAAAGAACAAGAGGAGACAACGAAGTGCTTCGAACAGGAAAACATGAGCGTTTGTGTGAGTTTCATTTGGAAGAAAAGGGTGAGAGCTGCTCAAAAGCAAACACCAGAGACAGAGGTAAGGAAGTGTAAAGTGTGCTCGCAGTTTCCCTGTTTGCAGAAACCACCTTCAGAGCGCCATCGACAAAATGTTTATCCGAACTGTAAAATCTGTCTGAGTCATTGTTGTGTTTAATGAGACATTTGTGCCTTTGGCAGGTAATTTAACCTTATACTTGTATCGAAAATTAAAAATTTGTTATAGAAGTGAAATCACTATCGTCAGTTTGCTCTCATGTGAAAACCAATAATCCTGTTGTTGCTTCGTCTTCATTACATAAAACGTCTCGTCTCGGCTGCTTGTGAAAACACACTAAAACTGCAAATTGCCAGGTTGAGAATATTTTCCCTTCAACTCGCTACAGATCAGATAATTGCTTATGTTACTGATGAAACTTGAAGTACAGTGAACTCAGCTGGAGCTTTGAAATTCATTTGTTTTGCTATTCACAAACAATAACGACGAATGGAGCAGTTTAACATCTAATAGTTCCAAAATGCTACAGTTCAGTCTGGTTTTTATGCTAATACAGCACTTTAAAATTCAACGAGAGAGAGCCGGAGAGTTTTTGAAATCGCTTCAGATCCAGTTAAAGCCTCTTTTCTACCGCGGCCGAGTCCTCAGCGCCACTCTGTGAAACTTCCGCTGCTCTCCATCAAAGAGTCTCTGCAGCACAAAGCTGAATCTTCAGCGTCTGGAAAGTGTCCACGTGAGGACACTGAGATCCGTCCACCTCAGCTCGGACAGCTCCATATTAAATGTCTGCACACCGGATGTCCAGCCAGTCTCCTCTGAGGACAACCAGGACAGCTCTGGGTCATCACAACACCCACACTTCAAACCCTAAAACCTGAAAAGACTGCACTTCACACAACTAACCGACTTGACGGTGGTCCTAGATCAGTTCTTTGGAGTGCTCTGGGACCAGACTTGAGGAAGGGAGGGACAGTGAGAGAGGGAGGGAGAGACAGTGGGGTTGTGTTTCTCCTCAATCAGACAGACAGGAAGTGGATCAGCAGGAGGGAGGAAACCCCCTTCTGGGCTGCTGGGTCACAGGTGGCTCTGCTCAGGGACTAGCAGGGGGCCGGGGTGAGGGGCAGGAGCCTTGGCTGTCAAAGCTGGCTGTCCTCGCCTTCCACTGCAGGACACACAGACACAAGGAAGTGATTCATAACACATATGCTGCCTTTTTTATTTGCAGCACCGTCACTCTCAGGTCTCAACACAAGGCACATATCAGTCTAACGATGTGTGCTGCAGGAATATAAGAACAGTGGGCCTCATATACAGATTTTTTCTTATTTTTGTTCATACTTTAAGTTTCTGGGATTCACCAATGTTCTCTTATTTCTACTCTTCTTATAGGTAAGAGAAAATGTGGAGAAGCACGGACTAATAGACTGTGGTGACGTCTCGCAGGCAGCCTGTCAGTCATGCAGCCCCGCCCTTAAATATGCATAGCTTTAAGCCTTAAAAAAATGTAGTGTAAGTGTATTTTATTACAGTTGACCCCGTGTACAGTTGTCACGAACCAGGAAATTATATATGGAGACCAAAACCGTTTTTGTACCAGGCTGTAAACATGTTTATTCCTCTTGTAAAGTCGGGCATTTTAACAAAGGGGTCTGTGGGAATTGACTCACTCTTGGAGCCAGCCTCAAGTGGCCATTAGAGGAACTGCAGTCTTCTGCACTTCAGTGTTGGCTTCATTTTTCAGCCCCCCAAGGCTGTCACTTAACGGTAAGTGATACACAGATTTTTTCATATTTCTGTTTGTATCCACAATTTGTTCTTATTTTTGATATCTGGGATTCACCAATATTTTCTTTTTTTGCTCTTCTTATAGGTAAGGGGAAATTTTACAAGTAGTCGAGAGCACTCTGACCAAGACAGGAGAAAAACAATTTGTTTTCACAGTCCATAAATTGTTTGACTATTAGGTTTGAAAATGCATGTATGTTATCAAATTTAGATTCAACCAATAGAATGGACACCCCATGTCTTTGCCATCGGAGCTGTTGCTTTGATTTCAACCTGCTTTGCTGCATGTCACCTCCGCCCTTCATTCTTGATCTTGATCTGTATATCTATCTAAGGTTGCAAAAAAAAGTTTAAAAAATCAGATTATGTTTTAGAGTTATTATAATGATTAGATTATGGAATTTGTAGGCTAAAGAAAGACTATTGTACTTGTTCCATTGATCCCAATTACTGTGGTTTCAGTTGTTCATCCATCTGCTGACCAGTGCTGGAATGTAACTAAGTACATTTAAGTACTGTACTCAAGCACATTTTGAGGTACTTTTACTTAAGTGTTTAATCTCATGCAACTTTCTACATCTACTCCACTACACTTGAGATGGAAATATTGTACTCTTTACTCCACTACAATTATTTGATAACTTTAGTCACTAGTCACTTTACAAGTAAAGTTTTTTTGCACACAGACTATATGAAGATAAACAAGTGCAGCTAAGATGATTAGTTGATTGATTAGAATATTAATTGGCAACTGTTTTAATTAAAGTTTAATATTATTTTTCATGCAAAAACATTTCATGGCTCCAGCTTCTCAACTATGATGACTTGCTGCTTTCCTTTTCATTAATTTGATTGATTAAACTGATTTAATTTTCTTCAGCATTGAGTACTTACTTTTAATACTTAAATACACTTTCCTGGTTGTACTTACACACTTTTACTTAAGTTACATTTTCAATGCAAGACTTCTACTAGTAACAGAGTATTTTAACACTGTGGCAATAGTACCTTTACTTAGTAAAGTAAAAGATATGAAAACTTCCTCCACCACTAGTGCTGATGCGGACTTTGCAGTATCACAACTGTGTAGCCATTCCTTTTTTTTCCCCCTGTAATGCTATCTGTAATCACTTTATTCAAGTTTATTCAACCGTAAGTCAGTGTCACTACTGCTGAAGTCCTTCTTCTTCTTACAGTCTTTTTTTTGGTGGCATCTCTCCAGATCCTGGGCATGTGCCTGACTCATTGCATATGGCACAACACCTGCCCTTATATAGTGTTTAGGAGGCATATATGCTAATATGTGACTTATGATCAAGTGGGATTTAGCACACCTGGGTAAGAGCAGATTTGGATGCATCTGGAGTTTACTTCTTTTATTTTTTCTCAGCAGAAAATATAAGAGAAGTTTAAGAGAATGTTGCTGCATGAGGCCCATTGTGTGATTTAACATTTATGTTTCCATTTAGTGCAGTAGGGGTTCAGGAAAAGGACTTAATGATAATAATTAAAAAGACTGAAAGCATTCATTCAAAGAACATAGACTCAAAAATTAGTATCTGACAGGATACCTGCATTATTATCTCATCAAAAACACAGACACGGTGTTATCATCTCTGTCTTGGCTCTTTATAGTATCAAAACAACAACAACAACAACAACAACCCCTTTATGCTCTCTTTTTAACCAGAATCAAGAATTACGATCACATCACAGTGATTTTAGCCTCTTTACATCGGCTCCCTGTTCGTTTCAGGGTTGATTTTAAGACCTTATTGATTATTTTTAAGGCTCCTCACTGCCTGGCTCCTGATTATATTTCTGACCTTTTAGCCCCTCATGAACTTATGTGTAGTTTGAGGTCTTTTTGTCTGTTCCAGAGTCCAGGCTGAAGACCAAAGGGGACAGAGCTTTTGAAATCAGGGTCCCGAGGCTCTGGAACGACCTGCCCGAGGATGAAAGCCTGTCTGAGCCAGTGTCTTTGTTTAAGCCTCTCCTAAAAACATACTTTTATCTGAGCTGTTTGTCTATCTTATTGCTTTTTTATTGATTTTTATTCTTGTTTGATATCTTTATTTTAGTTTTGGCCCTCTTGTATTTTATCTTTTACTCTGGTGACAGTTTGATGACGTTTTAATTAATTTCATTCTCCTTTTTCGTAGTTTTATTGTAAAGCACTTTGTGTTATCATGATTATTATTACTATTATTATTACATGGCTGCAGAAAAAAAAGGCTAAATAAGTAAACAAATAAAATAGATAGGTTTTTCTTTTAGAAAAGCATTGTAAAGTATCATTTGTGTTAAAAATATATTAAAAAATACAATAAAATAAAAGAACATTGTTGATGGGATGTTCTGAGCCTTAGCAATGCAGGAAAATTACAGAAAATACAACATTAAAGAAGATCATATTAATATATTTTGTCACTCCTGTTATTGTGGAGTTCCCATCATGCTCCGGGGGATGTAAACAGGAAGTATAAAGATGCTATTAGTGTAGTGAGTTCTGACGTGGGCAGCGGGCTACGACTTTAGCCGAGTTTTTCATTTTAGCATCTATATTTGTTAGCGCTGCTGAAAGTTAGCGGCATTTAAAATATGCCGAATTAGTTAATAGAAGTTCATTTTTCTATTAAACTAATAAAATTACAGACAACTATCACCGGATAATTTAAAAACTGAAGAAAAGCTTTAATCGCGATGATTTTCAGTGAAGTTCTGGACTCACAAGTAGCGTCTTTTTTCTTTGACTTCTACGCGAATTTAAGGACGTTTACTCGTGATGTACATCAAAGATAATGGCATTTTCTGAAAGAGTAAGTCACACAAAATTAAAAAATATATTAAAAATATGTGTATTATGTTTGTGTGTTGAGATTTGACTGAGTTATAAGACCGAGAAGGAGTCCGGTTTGTGACGCAGTTAGCTTAATTGCCTCTACAAGCCGTTTATTAGACATTCCTGCTGATGCTGCTTGTTGAGTGTTGGTGGGCATCCAAACTACATAAACGACCACTTGTATGCACTTGTCCCTTCACCACATGCCTCATGTCACTCCCACTGTGCCCCTTAAACTCATAGCACGGTATAATTTAAACTCTTGGAGGTGAAAATGACCATCCAAGCCCCTGAGTCTTCATCCAAAATGATATAAATATACAGAATGCTCCTTTAAAATGACTCCAATCAAACCTACCTCCTTCTCAGACTTCTTGGACTCCAGCAGGGGGTGCCAGTGTGCAATGGGCTTGCGTGGATAAGCCAGCATCTCGTTCCAGTGGTCCCTGCCAAGTCCCTCGGCATGGCATCCAACCCTCATCACACCAATGATCTCATTATGACCTACCCTGTGGGGACACACATACATACACACACACACGTACTGTATGAATACATCTGACTTAACCTGACAGGACAACTCATACATCAAATTGTGTTTTTTCTCTAATTGCAAGAAGGACAGCTTGTAATAAAAGGAGACACACATCTGAGTGTGGTTGTCCTGACGATTGATACAGTGAATCCTCAGCTGTTTGTCTCTGTGACTCATCTCAGGAAGGAGATCTTCGCTCCTTTAACAATGCCTGAAGTGTAAATGAAAGCCCTATTAATCCCCTATTATTAGCACAGCCTGATTTAATCCTAAGCATGAGAGCGGACAGTAAATGAAACACAAGAGGGTAGGTTTCTAAATTGTGTCTGCTCCTTTTATACTACACAGTTAAAAAAAAAAAAAAAAAAATCTGTTCGACCTTTAACACACGTGCTCTCATTCTGTCAGCTGTCTGCACTTTTTCCCTTTCCTATTATAGCTTCATACTGTAAAGGTGCAGTGCTCTCTTTTTCTGAAGAACCACAATTGGAAAATGAGGAATAATTAAAATCTTTTTTTATTAATAATCTCCTCCAGATATATTTGCACAGAAATGAAAATACTGTGAGTATGCAAATATTGTTCATGTGAAAATGTAACTACGAAATATCTCCTACGCTGCTGAAACACACTTGTGTAAGTTGCATTTTGGACCATGATTAGCTCCAAAACTAGTTTTGATGCCCCGAAGTTATGCATGTCTTACGGCGCATTCCCACTAGATCTGGTGACAGAGGGCGTCTCAGTGCTCTACATTCCTTTCACTGGAGAGAGGAGAAGCAGTCACGCAGTGCATGGTGGGTGTGTTGTGGCGAGTTTGGTGGGGTTGCGGTGTGTTCCCGGTCTGTATTTGTATAAAGTAGACTAAATTCAGCTTTATGTATATTATTCCATCCAAGAGGGATGCGTCTGGCTCACAGAACTTGGACCAAGCTGTCAAACTAGGTGACGTAGTTCTAAAATGAAACAAGATTCAGCTGATGCATTGCCTATTTCTTGGCTTTAATGTTTTTGGAAAGAGATTTTTGGATAGAGTCACAGAAAGTTTGTGAGCATGTTGTTTCCTGTTTGAAATGGCGAGCAGAGAACCAGGGACCACCCAAGTAGCAGTGCATTCCACTGCTGGGTATGTCAAAAGTGAGAAGCCCATCAAGCTAGCAGTTAAGTGTAGTAGCGTGTCCTCCAGCATCCTTACTGGATCTGGTGGAATTGTATGGTTAGGCTGGAGATAAACTTGCTTTGAACTATGCATTTGCGTGCGCATGATGGCTGCCCCGTGTATCCTGGCTCTGTTTGCAGCCTTGGTTTTGCATGTCCTCAGAAATGAAAGCTGTGTGTCCATAGGATGCAATACATGCATAGCAGTAGAGGCAGTGTGAGAAACAAACTCGCCACTGTAACAACGTGCTTGATTTACGTGGGCCTCACATATTATCTATAATGGTGCCACTTGTTTACATCATAAAAATTTAGAAGCTCAAAACGGTTTGAACCATCAATTCTCTGATGTGCTCTCTGGCAGAATCCTCCAGTAACACATGTACATAGGCAAGTATGTGACAGTTCTGTTCAGGATGCATCCGGTTGTCTACGTAATTTTGGTGGGCTTTTTGCCTTTATTTGATAGGACAGCAGCAAAGGGCCGTGGATTGGAATCAAACCTGGGGCCTCTGTGGCAAGGACATAGCCTTTTGTACATGGGGCGCCTACTCTACCAGGTGAGCTTCTGGGCACCCCTGTCTATGTGAATTTATCTATGAGGTATATCTCCTGCCTGACACTTAGATTTGAAGTTCTAGTGTGTAAGATTTATTTCAGAAATACAGTGTATTCCAATGAGTATGTTAACTTTACGCCCAGTTCAGACTGCACAGTTCAGCCCGCTTACAGCCCGACGCGGCTGTCGCACGGTGTCATAGTAGACGCCAACAGACTGGGATGCCTCATGACGTCCTAACAGAAAGTCTAGCATTTTTGATTTTCTTTTTCTTCGACAACCTCTCCACTCACAGCTGTCACTTTGACCAGGAACACAGACCGATCTGCTGCTGTAGATAACTGTATGGAACTTGTTGTGGAGGATTCACTGACTTGCACGGTTTTCATGCGGTACTTCAAGTGTAGCTCCTGCCATTTGGTGGCACTTTTTACATTACTACAAAGACTGTTCGACTGGGACATGAACACCCACAGTGACTGAAATAACAGTAATAATCAAAACAGGACGTGGACCAATGAGTAGTCTGTCATCACAGTCGGGTAATCCATAATCGCCTAATCTGACATAGGCCTTGTGACAGTCAGAGAGGACAAAAATGTTGTGTTGTCTGAACCTGTTGCACTGCAATCTACAGTAGCCCAGAACAGACAAATCAAACACTTGCTCTAGAAGGGGCCATTCACATTTTTATGTTGGCCACTGTTGTTAGCAGCCCCTTTGTGACAAGTGCATCAGAAAAACTCAGTTTTTTTTTTTTAATGTGAAACTGCTTTATTCACTGTTTTTACCGGTTTAAATCTCAGGGTCCGTTTGTTTTTTCTAAATGAGGCGACCTCTGCGGATGATTCGGCTCCTGGTAATATCCTCCTGAACAATGAATAATTAAGGAATTCTAACTGGGAGAAGTTTAAGCTGGTTGCAATCTGCAATCCTCACCGCTAGATGCAAATCTTACATACTGTTTATAGGCACAGTGTAAAATGTGTGTGTGGTATGCTAATTTGTCCTGTAGGGTTCACTGTTCTGTCATGGGTGTCTGTCAGTAAAGGTAGGAACCATTCATTGAGGGACAGGTGTTGCTAGATGGAGGAGCACACATAGTTTTTTGACCGCAAAGCCTAGCTATGTGAAGTCAGGTGTATGCTGCTCAGTGTAATGGTGAAACTGTGTACCTCTGAATGGTTCATGGACACAGATTCATGAATGTTTGCATGTTCTTCATTGAAGACACAACAGTGAGAAATGAATTACACATGTACGTACAAGTCGTAATCCATGACAGAGATGTGCAGGCTGACGTGGTCCATGCTGTCTGGCGGGATGTCAAAGATGATGGCCTCGTTGTAGGTGGGATTCAGAGTGTTCTTCTTTATGCTCGTCTTCTTCTTTTTCAAACGCCTCCCGTCACATATGAGCGACACTTTGACGTAGGGATCTAATCGGTGAGAGAAAGAGGGAAAGGAGAAGTGACTATCGAAACAGGAAGCGCTGATAATTTAATCTCATCATGTTTCAAGTTATCTATCTTTTTTTTTTTTTTTTTGGGCAAAACTGCCAGAGCAGTAATTAGCATGAAGATCAGGTTTGTGGGATTATTAAGAACAGAGCTTTTACAAATGTTTGCCTTGACTGCCAAAACATCTTCAAAGAAGTCCGTGAAGATAGAGCCATCAGTGGCCTATTTCATCATCCAGCGTGTGTGTGTTTTTTCTACTTAAGCATGAAAGCAACCCTGGAGGAGCTGGCATCGGTAATGTGCATAAATGTAGATGAGTCAATGGCTTGTGTAAACACAGAGCATGAGAGGCCATAGATAGCTAAAACAGCATGACTGAGAAAGCTTCCTGATGAATGCTGATCTCGATCTGTATCAGTCAGTAGCAAATCGCCTCATATGATTCATTATACCACGTTTTTAGTCAGATGTAAGCTGCCTTGAATCTATAAGCAACAAACAAGAGTGCTTGCTTGGCAGCCCAGTACGCTCCAAGGCACAACTTGATAGCTACTGGTTTACGACCCACAGATTGAGATAAAGGCAGACAGTTAAACCCCTAAAAACTGAAGCGGGGATTAAAATTGGGACTCACTTTAAAATCGTGAAATGTCATCAAACATGTGAGGGGAAAAAATGCCAGGTTCACTCTGAATTACACCTGAACCCTGGCATTTAATGCACAATAAATGTCACATTTTACGAGTCACATCAGTATTGTGGGGGAAAGTGGTGATGGAGAAGTGGAGCAGCAGTCTATTACAATAAACACACCCCCTGCAACTATTTGCTGACAATGTCTTAATATTGCAAGTGTTGAATATTAATAACTGCTGAAATAAACAGAACGCAGCTGTGGAGACGGCTCTCCGCTGTTTGCTCACTTTATCTGACATGCTTACAATTGGATATTAAAAGACGGATCATTCCTGTTGAGCCGCTGCGGCTGTATGTGAATCACACAAACACACACACACACACACACACACACACACACACACACACACACACACATGCAAACACACCTGAGTATCCAGTGATGTCCATGGCCTTGAGGTTCCTGCACTTGATGACAGTAAGTGTGAGTCTGCCTGCGGTGGGCAGGTAGCATAGTGAGAACATGATCTCCCCAAGGTCAACACTTTCCTGTGGAAAAACACAAACGCAAGCAAAAAATCTCTTTCAGTTTCACATTTACATTCAATGCAGATGGTCCTGAGACTTGTACAAGTGTTTCATCCTCATGTTCTGTTTCCTGGATCAATACTGTATTGTTTGTAGTCTGCTCACACCATCAGTGTGGAAGTACTCAGATCTTTGACTTAGGTGAAAGTAGTAATGTCACAGTGTCGGAATACTGTTACAAGTAAAAGTCATGCATTCAAACTATTACTGAGGTAAAACTGCGAAAGTGATAGCATCAAAACATACTTGAAGTACACAGAGTTAAAGTACTCATAATGCAAAGTGGCCCATGTCTGTGTAAATATATTTTGGAGTAATGGGGTTGCTTGAGCGGAGAATAAAGTCACTCTTCATACCACTCTTTGTTATGGTAGACAGTTGGGCCGTGCTTGCATGTTAATGCATGTGAGTCCCATGAATGTACTGTATAAAGTGACCTGGATACAGTGTTGGAGGCGAGACCTGGCCTGTTCATTCCTATTAAAGCTGCTCAGTGGCACATGAAGCCAAAATCGGTCAACTGCTATGGATAAAATAACCAGGATGACCGGCACTGCTTCCACATCATTGAGCCCATAGAGTGCTCCAGGAGTGAGTCCTAAAACCTGGAAATTTAGCACTCCTGATTGCCTTGTCTTGAAGTCAATGGCTTTTTGAATGTGTATTTCTTTAGAATAAGGTCTGTGGTCAACACAAGCTTAAGAGACTTTCACATTTTGCTCTGCGACATAAGTAAATTTTGAAGCCTTTACGTGTCTTAAAAAAGGCAGTTGCTAGCTAGAGGCTTAGTGAGGCTACAGAACATCATCACACTGAATATGGTTTTACAGTCTTGTTGCGGTGGTGACATTAGGTCATGTGATTGTAGTGTAGTTTATTTATAGCCCAACGTTAGCTTTTTACTTCTGGTGATTGCATTTTGGCTTCATTAATCATAAAAGTAGTGTTAATTTGTGAAGTTATTTTGCTGAACACAACGTGTTAGTATCACAAACATTTGTTTGCCACAGTGCTTATTTTTTGCGATAATCCAAAAAACCCTTTTGGATTTTTGTTGGGGGTTCCAGGGCAATGCTAACTTCCGCATTCGCCAACAAAAAATGGGTTATCTATCAGCACTCTATGGAGCAGGACCACTAGAGACTTCCGCCGATCAAGCTGACAACTTCCGGTTTAGCGCTTCACTAACTTGAATTGGGATAAAATGATTTAACCTTGTGGCTCTTCTAGACTTTCCCAATGTCATCAGATTAAATGGTTTAAATCCTGATAATGAAGCAAGTCATTCAGTGGGGGTTGGGATGCGCATAATAATGTATCCACTGATTTACAGATGTCTCTTTCACAATGTAAATCTCAGGTAAAAAGTGTTTTTAGGGCTCCATGGCATCACATGATAAGTTTGGAAGTTGTAATTCCACTGTTTGGACACTACGAAAATTGGGTTCAAACCCTGGTACACTTCCTTGAGGCCTGGTGAGTTCCTGTGTGTGTATCCCTCTGGCTAGCTAATCGCCACTGTTCTGCACTGCGCTCATTTGGCAGTTACAGCTGATAATGTCTTCCTGACCCTCGGTGGTGGAACAATGTCTTCGCAGAATTGTAACGCCCACCCTCCGGTTCCCCTCTTATGTTAATACTGTCGGCTATTTATATCCTGAGCCATGTGTAGACAATCCCTACTCAGACTCTTGATCATTGATATACTCTGCATGTCCTACATAACTCCTTTGACCTATAATAATGTATTGTAAGTTGATTTATATTTTGTATTAATAATCTAAATAGCAACTTAGCTACTAACTAAAGTTATCAAAATTATCGAAATAGTGGTGGATAGTCGTGCAGAAGAAGTATAAAGAAGCATAGTACCTGAGTAAATGTGCTTAGGCACATTCCACCACGGGTGAAGACTAACACAAGGAATTAATATATTTGATGTAGCCTACCACAGGGTTATCTGCTATCCCTCTATCATGAAATAACAAAAACATGGCGCATTTAATGCCTCTTTGTTGCCACAAAGAATAAAACCTCACAGCTGAGACTGTAAACTAGTTAATTAGAGCACAGACTGCACACAAAGGTATATAAAAAGGTAATATGATGCAAAATAATGCAACTTCTCTATTTGCATTTTTGCCTTGAAAAATAACCGCATTATGAATCTGCTGTTTGGTTACTGCAGCTTTGTATTTAGATGAGGCACTGGGGGGATGGTGAGTTGTGTCAAAGACAAATGGAGAATATTTGTTGTAAAGCACACAGCAAGATAGAGGATGAGTTGTGTTGTCATTTTGTAGCACAGGACATTTTATATCTTAAGGTCCGCTTTTTTTTTTTTTTCCCTAAAGAAATAGTTTGACATTTTGGGTAAAGTGTTTTTTTTTTTTTTTCAGAGATGATGAGCTTATCTTCGTATAAAGAGTGAAAGCAGTGGGAAACTGCTGGCCTGGTTCTGCTCAAGGCCTGGTCCCAACTGAAAGTGGCAGACGGCTATACATCATTTGATTTTATTAAAGGTTTTATTAAAGAGGGGGAAAAACTCTCTGAGGAAACAAGCTCTGCTGTCATTAGTTCCTACAGTGGTGCAGTTTGTACCATAAACTCATGTCTTGTAACTCTCTGCAAACATTCGTGAGGCTGTTCACACTTAGACGGAGGAGGTTAAAGTGGATGGTGCTGCATGGCTAACGAGCAAACTGCCGTTTTTACATTTCTGTTTGTCTACAGATGAAACGAATGACATACAGTGTGATATAAGAGTATTAGATCGTCAAAATTTGTGTTTTTACTTATTAACAGGAAGAAAAAAGGTCAGAAATGCTTCCTCTCGTCTCAGCCAGCTGGTGGGGCGTGTCTGGGTTTGACTGACAGCAGCTAGCAGCCCTGCCAGAGAGCCAGTGTTACACCCCAGGGAACATGTCATGGTCAGACAGCGTGTTGTTAGTGGTATTTAAGAGTAACGGCCACGCCAGCATTTAAATGGACCAAAGTGACATTTGCAGGTGCGTTTACATGCTGTTTAACGTGCTGCAGCTGAGCACTTAATTAGCTGTCTGGCCTGCAGACTGATGTGAGCACTGAACTTTTCTCGGGTGCATGTTTGTTTGGTTGCTGGTTTAGCAAGTTGAAGAGCAGGATGTGTGTTCATGTGTGCAACTTAGAAGAGAAGGAGACTTTAGCAGGAAAGCTAATGAATGTAATTGATGGAAAACTAAGGAGTTCCATCATGAAAAGAGAACACGGAACATGTTATTTACAGAGCAGATATGTCTGATGGCAAAGCTAGCTGCTGCTCTTAGCTTCTAGTCTTTATGCTAAGCTAAGCTAATCACCTCTGGGTTTCAGCTCCTTATGCTCCAATTAGGGATGTCAGAATCAGTTGATTTTTCTTTTGACAGGCTGACACCGATAAACCAGTAACTAACCGGTTGGCAATGACCCTCCATTGACTCAGTGAGCTTAAGCACCTCATTTCAAAGCACTATCCATTTAGAGAGGGTGAAATTTTAATATTTAATGTTTTTCTTTTAATTTAATTGTCTCTTGGCTTTGCTGACAGACAGCCAGCTAACCGAGGTCACACGCAGAAACATAGTGCCCACTGCCCACCCTCCTGTCTCCTCCAGTTAGCTAATGTTAGCTTAGCCTCTCTGCACTGCACACCACCTGGGTTGGGTAGGGGCTAGCTGGTGGCGCTGCTCATTTGGCAGTTACCATGTCTAATGCTGTCCCAACCCAACGGCGTTTCTGTGAAAACATTGTGCCCACCCTCTGGTCTCCACACAGGTCGCCCTGGTGATTAAGTGGCTCAGTTAAGAGCCGCAAATTCCCTTTAGCATTTTTGTTAGCACCATTAGCAGTGTCAGCATGGCTAGTGGTGCTAAAATTGTTAAAAGTGCTAAAGGGGTTTTGCTGCTCAAAATGCAGCTGCTTGCTTGTGTCCCGATGGTGCCCCCCCCCCCCCAGGTTGCCCTGGTGAGTAAGCGGCTTCATTTAAAGCTGCAAAACCCCTTTAGCACTGTTAACTATGTTAACATCACTAGCCATACTGACACTGCTATCGGTGCTAACAGAGCTAACATTGTTCACAATGCTAAAGGGGGTTTGTGGCTAAAAATGAAACCACTTACTCACCGGGGCAACCTTGGGGGAGACTGGAGGGTGGGCACGTTTTTATAGCAAGGCTGTTGGGTCTGGAGGGCTTTACAAGTGGTAATTGCTGACAGAGTGATGCTGCTAGCTAACGTTCGTCTCGCCACCAGACAATCAGAGATCTCCGCCTTCTGATAGTCTGGGGACACTCCTTTCTAAAATGTGTTTAACACACCGGCGAAAACGGCCGGCAACAAAGCAACGCCTCTTGCATTTTTGAAAAGGACACGCCCTCCCGGGAATGTGCGCTCCCCCTTTTCTCGTCCGCAAGGCAACAAACACACAGAGAACATGAAAATAAATGCCGAGAGATTTAACTCCGTTTTATCAAACGTGTGCTCAGTCCACAAGATTGTGGAAATGAAGGACATACAGCGACTTGAGCCATTTTGTATCGCTACACGTTTCTAGTCGGACTATGCTTACTAGCACAAGAGTTCAGCGAGCCACCGAAGGACTGCCCTGCGGATTTACTATTGGTTCTGCAACGTAGGGAGTTTTTTTAAACTCTGAAATTGTATCCTCCCATCTAAACACAAAACCAGGGAGAAAGTCATCAGTCTTTAGTTAAACAAAGCGTCTTAAGACTGACTTATGATTCTAAGCTAACATTAGCTCCCACTAGATGTGTGTGGCGAACAGTGCAGTAAACTGAAGAGTAGCATTCCCTTGTACTCGGAAATTGTAAAAAAAATAATCTTCAATGCAGAAAACTACAATGAAACTTACTCAAGTTGTAAACTTGGGCAAGATCCACCCTGCCCGAGTTCTCCTATAAACACACCTGATGTTACAGCAACGTG